GTGTGCATGGGGGGGGGGGGGGTTGGCCCACAAGTGCTGAGGCACAAGCTGCCCCCTTTCTCTCCCTGCCTGTAGCCAGTGAGCCTGCCTCCCAGGGAGAGAGGCCATCAAGGCGCATCCTGCTGGGCCCAGATCCCCTGCAGCTGGGGGTGGTCACATGACCCGACTCCAGCCAATGAGAGTGAAGGGCAAACACAGGGAGAAGCTCCTGCGGCCTCCTGGGTAAGAAGGTGCAGGTGCATGGGGAGGAGCCCAGCCCTCTCCTCCCACCTCGGTTTTCATCTTGTTGTGGGAGGAGCCCAGCCACCCGGTCCCGGTGCCAGTGCCAGTGGAGGGGACTTGGCATAGAGGAGACCACACAGGAAGACGACTACAAGAAGCGGCTCCTGGCTCTGCCCCATTAGGACCAGCCCACTCCCTTCTGCCTTCCTTCATGCACACAACCAGCACTGACTGAGAGCCTTCTGTGTGCCCGGCAGCAATGGCATCCAGAGGTGACCACACAGTCCCAGCTCTCAGAGCGGCTGAGCCGCTGGGAAGCTAACGTACAGGGAGAACCTGAGGACACAGCCCACGGCCCTGCTGGTCCCAGAGGGTCAAGGCCATCAGAGTCAGGAGAGACCAGATCTGGGCTCCCTGCGCTCAGGCCTCTTGCCCCACATTGGGGGGCCCTTCCTTCCCCACTGAGCCCCCGACAGCTCAACCCGGTTCCCTTCATGTCCCATCCGCCTCCCGGAGCCACGGAGCCACGGAGCCACGGAGCCACGGACGATACTGTTGCTGAGGGTCACCACATCCCCAGCGGTGCGAGGTTGCCAGGGGAACCGGAGGAATAACGGTGATCAGGAGGAAAATAATTACTGGGCCGGAGGAGCTGCTAATTGCCAAGTGATTGGAATTTGCAGAGAGCTGGGACTGCAGAGCCGCTAATGGCTCTTCCTGACGAGGCGTGGGGAGGCACCCTGCCCACTCCCGTCCCATCACTGCCATGGGGGGGAGGGGGAGAGGAGAAAGAGTCTGTGTCATGCCATATACATGTCTCCTGTCCCCACCCGCAGTGAGCGTGGCCAGCAGACAGGCCCCAGCGCGTGCTGGGCACAGAGGTCGCCCTCGGGTGCTGAGCTGGGACGAGGGCTGGCCCTGCTTCCGGGCTGACCCAGCAGCAAGCAGCTGGCACTGATTGCTCCCCCAGCATGGCAGGGGCATAGCCTGAGGCTCCTGTGGCTCCTCCCATCCTGCAGCCAATCGCCTAGAGCACATGTGTCAAACACAAGGCCCTCAGGCCAAATCCGTCCCGCCAGGCCTTGCAATGTGGCCCGCACCGCGCTTTCATCACTGCACTCCGCTGCGTTTCCATCACAATGACAGTTTATGACTGTTCAGTAAACCATTCGGCCCGAGATTTAAGCTGGATTTTAGATTTTGGCCCCTTCTCTGATTGAGTTCGACACCCCTAGCCTAGAGTCTAGGCCCTAGACTTTCCTGGATCAACACAACTGGGTTCCGAGAGGGAGCCTTCCAGGCAGAGAAGCCTCAGTACACACACACATCTAACAAGATGGCGTAGGCAGCCATCTTGTGAGGGCATGAGGGTCAATTTGCATATTACCACTTTATTATATAGGATCTCCTCCCCTCTACATTCTCCCCACTTCCTCCCCCCAACCCCATCCAAGGCTCAAATCAAAAATCCTCCTCTGTTTTTGGGTGTATTTTTTCTCCATTTGCAACTACAGAAACCTGGTTTAACGCTGACTCAGCTGAGTTCCTTAAGTCCTGCAAGCGGCAACTCACTTGGGGGTGAAATTGAAAAGTGTCTGGAAATTCAGGCCAAAGCTCAGCACCAGAAAGGATGTAGGGCCTGAGTGTGCTGCTGTGTCCGTTGCCGTTCCCTTTTGCTGACTGACAGTTACTGACAACCGTGATCGCCAACAGCTGTGGTTGTGAGCTTGAACCCGTGGTCTGAACACGTGGCCCCACGTGCCTGAGTGATAGAGGCTGCAGGTAAACAAAGCTGGATCAGGTGCATGCAGTTGAGTGGGATCGAAACCCACGAGAATGTTGTAAACATCTTAACAACGAACTCACTTTGCCTCGTGGAATCGGCTGTAAAATAAAGACAAGGCTGGTGTTCCGTGGTGCTGTCTCTCAGAGAAGCAGCGTCTCACTGAGACACAGCTTATATTCTCTTGTCCGTCTTTTCTCAATCCTTCCCTTTCCCTCTCAGGTTCACTCTTGGCCGTGCTGGCGCAGCACAGAACCCAGTGGCCCTTCACAAGGTCAAGTCTACTTCCTCAGCAGGCAGTCAAGGTGCTCCTGGCTTCTCCTCAGGCTTCCTCGCTTCCCAGCCTCCTCACCTCCTCCTCCAGCGATGCATTGCTGCTTGGACCCCCTGCACCCAGAACCGAGGGTTCAGATAGGCTTCTGCTGGAGGAGGGAGGGCAGGTTCCAATGGTAAGACGCTCTCCCGCCCTTCTCCAAGGCGTGAGAATCCAGCACTATGGGGTGTTTTACGTTTTACATGGAACGATGGACTTTTCCTTCTTACCCGTGAGACACTGATCAACGTAAATATGTTATTTGCATTAAAAAAGCAAGCCTTATTATAAATATTTGTCACCTATGCCTTAAAAAGTGGCTGAGATGGAGGTTAATCTCCTTTGGACTTTTATCTCCTTTTTTCTTTAAACCTTCAGGGTTAAGTCCTGGGACACCCTCTCCTCCCTACACAGGGACCACAGATAAATACAGGATCAGCCCAAGGAGTGAGACTGACTGAAGTGTAGCACTATGACCATGAGTGACATTTCTTCTTTCTTTCTTTTTCTTTCTTTCTCTTTCTCTCTTTCTTTCTCTCTCTCTCTCTCTCTCTCTCTCTCTCTCTCTCTCTCTCTCTCTCTCCCTTTCTTTCTTTCTTTCTTTCTTTCTTTCTTTCTTTCTTTCTTTCTTTCTTTCTTTCTTTCTTTCTTTCTTTCTTTCTTTCTTTCTTTCTTTCTTTCTTTCTTTTCCCCGTCTCTGCTAACTGTCCCACACGGAATAAATATCTGTAGTCAACTCGGAGGCCTCGTCATCACATCGTCCTGTGCCTTCCCAGGTCACACGTCACTCCGGCAACAGAGTCTCACTCCCACGGCATCCACGAGGGACAGGCTCCTGCTCACAGCGCTGCCCCAGGGCGAGGCCCGCGCAGGGGGCGGAGCCCACACCAAAGCACGTTAAAAAGATCCGACATGTTGGGTCTCAGGAGTGTTTCTGACGCTTGGAGACAAGCCTCTCTGAAAAGTGAGGCCTAATGAATGCCACCAGACACTCAGGTTTTAAAAATTTCATAATATTCGTACAAAAGCAACTATCTGTGTTGCAAATTTCAGAAAGGATTGAAAATCACACACACACACACACACACACACACACACAATCTTACTTCCACAAGCCTGAGGTAATGACTGTAAAAAATTCCCACCGTACCTGGCAAATTTCTTGCCTACAAAGATATAGAGGACACAATCAGGTTTTGTTTTTTTTTTAAATAAAATTGGGATAATATCATACAGATCACAAGAACTTGGAAAACTTTTGCATGTTATTGTCTAGGCTAGTTACATATATTTTTAAATATATTTTTATTGACTTCAGAGAGAGGAAGGGAGGAGAGAGAAATAGATCAATGATGAAAGAGAATCATAGATCAGCTGCCTCCTGCACGCTCCACACTGGGGATGGAGCCCGCAACCCGGGACTGTGCCTGACCAGGAATCCAACCATTCATGAGTTGAGGCTCAATCACTGAGCCACGCTGGCCAGGCGAGGCTGTCACATTTCTGTTGGAGGAAGGAACTGAGGGCTTCCACACTGTGATGGCCTCATAAACAAAGCTGGGCCGGTCTGGTTTGTTCACATTCCGAAGCTTTGTCTCTGCCTGGACCAGTCAACCTGCTGCAAGCGCCAGCGCTGGAGAGAGGCCCCAGCGAGGGCACCTCCCGTGTGACTAGTGAGCGTGAAGTTGCCTTCATCTTCCGGGCACATCACAGCCGCGGGCACAGAGGGCGCTCACCTGCTCTGCGCTGGGGCCCCAGCCGGTCTTTCGACTTCACATCATGGCCCATGTCTCCTGACAAAAAGAGAACACCTTTTCAGTCAGACAGAAGGAGAGCCCTCAAGAAATTTTAATAAAACTTAAACGCTTCATAAGCTACAATTTTAAAGACAACTTATGCCAAAAGATTAAAGAGTAACTTTATGAAATATTTGTGTTAAGTAGTGCCCTCAAGGACTAACCAAAGAATGTATTACAAACAACTAGTTATGAGGTTTTTACATTTGTTTAATAGGGGGGTAATCGGCCCCAATGACACTGGCTAAGCTAGGGCTTTTTAGATGACTAAGACGAATTAAACTTTTTTTAATGAGAATTTAGGTGAGCTGGCCACCCTGGTGGGGTTTCTAGGGAAACTTCCTGCTTTTAGTCTTTCTGTTAAAGCTAACTTAAGTGAGATTAAAACCTTATTGGATTTATTTACCTTTGGCAACGAAGACCGTTTAAGGGCTACACACATCCTTGGCCTTGGCGCGGGCGACCCCGTTTAGTCAGTGTCTTTAAAAGCGTGGGCTCTATGGCTTCCGGCATGGGGCGAGGGGCGCATAAAGGCACCAAAATTCTCATTAAAAAAAAAAAAATCCAAAGTGGCGCTAGTGAGAAAACGCCCGACAAGATGAAGACGGATCACCTCCTGCTCCCGATGCTCAGTCCTTCGTTTAAAACCAGCGTTTACCGAGCTCTGGCCCGGACTCTCTACACAGCGGTTAGGTCTACCTACGTGAGTGGCCCTAGCATGGCGCAGTCCATTTTATACCGTTTTTAAAAGAGGTTGTGCGGTGTTTAGTGTGGCCCCCTTATGACGAGCGTCGTTAGGTGAGGTCTCTCCCTGTTTACGGCTATTTATGAGCGCCTTTTTAGGTCAGAAAAAGCATGAAACTGTTAGCTCACACACACGGGAACATTTCTTTCAAAAGTTTATTTAGCATCAAGCAAGAGGAAAGTTTGCTTAACACTACAGAACATTTCAAGACTGGCGTTACAAAAAGACCACAGTATTGCACTTGTTGTTGGCTTCCCTTTTTATGTAAGAGGGGGAAAAATAAAAATAAAAAACTGGCATATGGCTGAAAGAGAAAATAACTAAACTCTATGGAAACCTTTACAATGAAAGGCGAGGCATATGTTAAAGGATGGGTTAACATGTTTATAAACCTATTTTTTGTTTGTTTAACGCTAGTTAACCAAAGGTGTGCGTGTGTGTGATTTTTTTCTTTTCGTTTTGATGGCCTATTTTCTTGTTTCATATACAGATTGGAAATAACAAAATTTTACATATCTTTTTTTTTTCTCTCTCTCTTTCTTCCCAGGTTGGTGTCTCCACAAAGCAGTGTTAAGTTCCATCCGTTCCGGTTTTTAGGCATTTTGATTTATTTAAAAAGGGGGTCGTTCATAGAAAAAATTACTTTGCACAGTTTACAGGGCGGGTGGAGGTGGGCTAGTTCACAACATCGGAGAGTCAGTACAGTCAGTAGCGGCCGTACGGCTGGTCCCGGTAGACGCCCTTCGCCGTCCGCGTCGAGGGGGCCTTGTGTCTTGAGTTTGTCCACTCCTCTTGCCCTGAAACCAGCAGACGAACCACAGTTAGACCGCCTGCCGCCGGGGCCGCAGGCCTCATCCTGCAGGATCTGACTCGCCCAGCGCCCACTGCAATGTCACAGTGGAGACACATGGCCTGACCTACCCAGGAGACTCACTGAGGAAAAAATGGCAGCGGACTCACTCACCGTAGGAATCGTACGTCTCGTCGCTGAGCCCGTGTCCGTAGTCGTAGTAGTCAGCGCCGCTGCGGAGACAGACAGAGGGAGAGGTGAGTGCGGGGGGCTGTGGGTATAAATCGCACCCCGTGAAGCGGTCCACACACAGAGACACACAGAGACAGCCTAACGCCCAGGCTGGCGGCAGAGACCCCCTACCACGGAGGCCGCAGGCGTCAGGGTGACCAAAGGCCCCGACCTGAATGCGTGACAAACGTGCAGGTCTCCTGCCGACGGAGCAAGGACTCCCTTCCTCTGCAGCCTCGCCCGCCGGACGGCTCAGCCGTGCGGGCCACAGGGACGGCCTCCTCCCACAGGCACCACACGACCAGTTCTCTTAGAAACTCAGCACTCTGCCCGGCCAGCGTGGCTCAGTGGGTGTGCGTGGACCCATGAACCAAGAGGTCGCCGGTTCGATTCCCGGTCGGGGTACATGGCCCGGGACGCAGGCTGGATCCCCAGGGTGGGGCGTGCAGGAGGCAGCCGATGGATGGTTGTCTCTCATCATTGGCATTTCCATCCTCTCTCCCTCTCCCTTCCTCTCTGGCATCAATTTTTAAAAACATAAAAAGAGACTCAGCACGAAGTCAAGAGAACCACAGGCTCCTTGTTAGAGGCCAGAAGCCCCACCTTGATGGCCCCGAGACAGATCAACCCTGGCTTCCTGGGAGACTGATCTTCGTTGCACAAATAAGATGAGAGCAGCCCCTTCATCAAAGTCAAAGTGACGCCCTTCCCTGGACAGGCCCCACTGCTCGCCGGAGAGCTGCCAACGGCCAGCCCGTCCTCAGCCGCCTCCAGTCCCCTTCACCGAGGAGCGGGCGGTAACGGCTCCGGACGGCGGGCACCGCGCTCCCGCACAGCTCTGCCCTGAGCGGGAGGACAGAGGGGCGTCACGTGGCCCGGCCGCAGACGTTTCCCGTCATTCCGCCCGGTTTCTGATGATTTGCTGCGAGACTGTCATCACGCCAGGAGCTGGGAGCAGTTGTGCCCCGCACGCCTGTCATCCCTTCGGGACGGCTCCCTCCACATTTCATTCCAGGGGCCTCGGGGGTCTGTTAACCAAGGATGTGTCCTATTTCCCAAGGACACGCTGCAGACCCCGCCGTGGCAAAGATGGTGGAAAACACACTCACCTCCTCACCGAGGCTCACAGCTGTTAGTGCTGATAGGAGGCAAGAAAGCACAGCCGGCCGCATACACCTCAACTCCATCATGAGGTCAAGGTCAAGGGCGCCCCTCCCTCCACAGGTCAAGAGTGGGCTCCTCGCCAGGCGAGGCCGCGTCTCTTGTGTCTCCTGTCCTTCTCCACGTCCCCCCATGCCCGGGTCCGAGGAAGTCCACACGTTCGGCATAATTCCTGGCTCTCCCCGGGGTCCCGGTTCCCCATCAGAGTCAGGAAACAGGCTGAGCACTGGGAGGAGACCACGTTTACGGAGCAAACGGTGTCCCCGACTGTCCACGTCTGCCCGGGCCTCCTCCCTCCACACGGTTCAAATTTATGCTCAAAGCGTAGTTCAAATTGATTATTTGTTGTCAGTATTAACAGATTCACCTGGTTTGATGAGCTCATAACACCCCACACCTTCCTGATCCCACCACACGCAGAGCAGTGTCTTCTTTCCGAAGCGATCTGGCCTTCTAGTCGATGTTGATGGTTGACCTGGATCAACCCATAATTCTGTGCTTTTGGGATTCTCAACGTAAACCCACTCTTCATCGCCAGTCACCATTCGATGCAGAAAAGACTTTCTTTCGTGCCGTGGAAGCAACATTTTACTGATGACTTTTCGGTTTTGGGTTTGTCTCCTTCAGTTGAGGTGGCACCATTTTCCTTCAACATCTTTCCCATTGCTTGTAAACGCTCGGAAACTGTTTGCTGAGCAAAATGTTGCTTAAAAGGTTGCAGATGGGCCCTGGCCAGTATGGGTCCAGTGGTTGGGGCGTCATCCCAGACATCAGAAAGCGGCGGGTTCAATTCCCGGTCAGGCACATGCCCAGGTTGCAGGCTCCATCCCTGTGGAGGGAGGTGCGTGAAGGAAGCAGCTCACAAGGTCTCTCTCTCTCTCTCTCTCTCTCTCTCTCTCTCTCTCTCTCTCTCTCTCCTCTTTCCAAAATCAATTTTTAAAAAGGTTGCAGAAGGTTCTACATAATTTTTAAAAACTGTGGAATTTTTATGAGATTCTCAGAAAAAGGGAAAAGCACAAAGGAGAGTTTTGTTGGCAAGAGCCTCCCATTCGCTGTCCCTGTCTCTTCCCTGAACACATCTGCCTCCCAGGCAGGGCCTCGGTGGCCCGGGGTCTCACAGCCACACCCCGGGAATGAGCTGAGCGTCCGCGCAGAGCTAAGCGTGCTTTCCGTACACGGCCGCGCTGTCATTTTTAAGCAGGTTTCCTGTCTCACTGTAATCAGTTTGAAAGACAGGAGAGAATTAATAGTTAAGAATCAGGCTTTGGAGTCAAACAAACGTATTATCAGAATCTGGGCTCCCGCACTTACTGTGCGCAAGCTTGGGCGAAGTTAATTCAATTTCCCGTAAAACGCTTTTAAAAATAAATCTCCAATAAGACCGTTGCGCGATTTAAATAAGATAGCGTGCCACGTTATTAAGCTCTTACTCAAGGATAGCTGTCATCCATCTCGGGAAAGCCAAGTTTTCGCTAAAGAAGCGGTCTTTTGCCCAGAACGCGTGCTTGGTGCTGTATAACCCTCTGTGCTTAGCAGGAGCGCCGGCCGCATCTTAGCGACTCACGTCTGACAACACGCAGGAACGGTTCCCTCCCGAGCACGGGCTCCGCCATGTCATCCTCTTATCTACTGTTCGGGGAGGTGAGTCCTGCTTTGTCCACTCACGCCATCACTTAAACATGAGGTTCCCTCGTGCCCTCGGCGAGCTCAAGGTCACATGCACGTGGCAGGGCTGAACCCAAAGGCAGAGGGAGACCTGCCATTCCACTCCGGCTGCGGAGCGGCTCCAGCCACTCCAACAGCAAACCCATTCCCTCAGGAGCACTCACTGCAGAGGACGGCGTCTCGTGAAGAAGCACCAGGGAACGGGTCCAAGTTTGTGACCGTTTTCCGGCAGAAGATGGTTTTTCAATAGGTGCCGCCGTGTGCCCACCACCCCAGCAAGTCGTCCCCCGTCAGCAAGTCCTGCTGCCTGACGCCCCGAACAGCTCCGGCTGTGCACCAGGCTGGGTGCACCCCCCCCCCCCCCCCCCCCCCCGCCGTCTTCCCCGATTCCCAGTGCCCCCTGGAACCCTCTGCCCCAGGAGCCTGCACCGCACCAAGCAGACTTCCCACAGTCCAAACTCATCCTGCGGCCATACCACAGCCTGCAGACGCCACCAAGTCCCCACCCTCTCACCGACAGGACCCGAAGCGCAGGTCCCAGGACCCAGTGGGCTGCCCTGGAGCAGGGGCAGAGCAGGGACCCCTGGGCTTGCTCCGTCCTGGCAGCCGAGTCCATTCGGCCTCCCTGAGGCCTGCTTCCTCGGGGCCATGCCACCCGCCACTGCCCCATCTGCCCGGGACTTGCCGGACCCGCCGTCTCCTCCATCCACACGGCGGACCAGAGCACGTGTGCCGTCAGAGCACTCCCCGAAGACGCGGCGTCACAGGAATGGCACAGGACAGCCAGCTCCCTTCCCGGGGACAAGCCCAGGGCACCCTGACGCCAGTGTAAGCCATCGATCACAAAACCCACGCTCTCCGCACCCCGGGTTCCGGAGTCTGCACACTCCCCAGGCCTTCTCGGACCCCTGGCCCATACACACCGGGGTCTCAGAGGCACGTGCGGCTGTATTCGGTGCTTCTGGGCCTGGATAATCCACAAGAGGATGCAGAGCGGGCGCCGGACCTGCCAGGTTCTCCAAGACGGGCAGCGATGACTTCTAATCCCCTCTCTTCGGTCATCTGAAGTGTTTTCATGGAAATCACAGCGATGTAGGAGGACGGAGATGAAGTAGGTACTTGAACGTCCGGTCAGACCCACAGCGCGGTGGGAAATTAGCTTGTCAGTGTTCCCCGTCCAGACGCCAACCACCACACGCTCACCCAGGTCCTTCCATGTGGGGAGGGGAGGGAGGTGCGGGGGGAGGGGGCAGGGGGTGGTTAGCACGTCTGTGAAACCCTTTTATTCCGCTTTCTTTATGATCACTAGAGGAATCAAATACCTCCTCGGAGAATTTACCCTCTTCAGAAGCACAGACCAAAGTACGGTGATTTGTTAAAAATGAAAACTGTAGGTAAGTGTGAACAGGGTCGGATTCACAGACAGAGCGGTGTGATGGCTGTATGGAAGTGGGGCCATGATGACTCGACACGCAGAGAGCCAAGCTCACCGGCAGGCCTCCTCCCTCCGGTGCCTTTTCCGGTGTGAGCGCCCCCGAACCCCACTCTCTGAGCCCATTTCCGGCCGTCGGCCCCGTGCTGCGTTAACCAAAGCTGTCACGCCGGAGCGGTGAGCGTCATCGGGGTTACAGATCAGACGGCCAACGGAAATGCACGCCGCTCGGCTTGGAGGGAAGGAGCACCTCTCCGAAGGGTTTGCTGGAGCAGAAACGACGATTTCTGGGAAGGTGCCCGTCCCGTCGGCGCAGGTCAGCGAAGGCGAAGGTTGTTCCTCGCCTGCTTGTCCCCGTGTAGAGACCATCTCCATCCGCCTGGCAGGGACCGTGGCCTTGCCCGTCTCATTCAACCTTCAGGCCGCCCTCAGACACAGAACTACGTCACACCGTCCACGAGCTGGGGCATGCAGAGGTGGGGCCACTGCCCAAGGTCACCCCGCAGTCAGCGTGCAAGTGGGATCAAAGCACAGGTCTGCAGGTCCCCACCTCTATGGCGCGGATCCCCAGGCTTTTACACACACACACACACACACACACACACACAAAAAAAAAAAAAGTCCATTTACACACAGAGATAGGAAAAGTGAGCTGTGGAAAAGTGAGCCAGCTGGGCCGCGTGGGCTCAGGACCCAGGTTACAGCGGCAGCAGGGCCTCCGGAGCTCAGGAGAGAGAAAGCCAGTCTAGTGCCGGCCTGGGGGGAGGAAGAAGGAAGGGAGGCACAGGTGTGCTCCAGAGAGAGCCTCCGCACCACATGTGTCTGTGCATCGCAAAGAAGGCTGTGGTTGAGCTGGTAACTGCCACTGTGCATGCGTGACGTGTGTCCTAAAACCTTAACAAGTGACAGCTCCTACACAGAAGGAAACATCAGAACAGAAAGTCTGAAAGGCTGAGCAGGAGCTGGCGTTCCCTAATTCTTCCTGCATCTCGTGAGCTGACCTACCGACCCGAGGGCTTAATCGTATACTCTGTGTCCTTCCTTCACCGATACCGCCACACACTCACCATCAAGCTGCTGGGCCCAGTGAGCTATGGATAAGCTCTTATCCAGAAGACGCCTGTGTCAGCAGCACGGAGAGTGTTAACAACCTCACGGACACAGGCACCAGGCACCGGGCTTCCAATAAGTGAGTCTATTTTTAAAATTAATATATTTCTATTGATGTCAGAGAGGAAGGGAGAAGGAGAGGGAGAGCAAGAGAAACACCCACGGTGAGAGAGAATCATCGATGGGCCGTCTCCTGTTCGCCCCGCACTGGAGATTGAGCCCACAACCCAGGCATGTGTCCAGACAGGTTCATGGGTCGATGCTCAACCACTGAGCCACACCGACTGGGTGAGACTCCCCTAAAAAAAAGGACCAGCTGCCGAAACCGGTTTGGCTCTATGGATAGAGCGTCGGCTTGGGGACTGAAAGGTCCCGGGTTCGATTCCGGTCAAGGGCATGTACCTTGGTTGCGGGCATATCCCCAGTAGGGGGTGTGCAAGAGGCAGCTGATCGGTGACTCTCTCTCATCGATGTTTCTAACTCTCTATCTCTCTCCCTTCCTCTCTGTAAAAAATCAATAAAATATATTAAAAAAAAAAAAAAAAAAAAAGAACCAGCTGACACAGTCTGAAGACTACTAAACTGTTACAAATGATGTAAGAAAACAACTTGGAGCAAAACGGAAATACATTTTTAAATCACTGTCCACCTCGGTATCAGAATGAACAAGTGAAGCCTTGCCTGGTAACCTGTCTGCGTCCAAACGTGAATGTATGCCCCATCAGGGTGACCACGTGGCCCCTGGTTTTAATGCTTCACCACGCCAGTGTGTTCTTTTGTGTTTGTCCACCTTTATTCCCCACTTAGAATTCCAAATACAAAGCAAGAGGTTTCTAGGCATTTAGGAAAACATTCTGAACAGAATAAACACGGATTTCAAATATCAAGGAGCAACCAGGCATGCCATCGGAAGAGGACATTTGAAAGCTATTTTTTTTTTTTTTTGCCTCCAAATAACATGCATTTCTGAATAAATACTTCATTAGAAAACGAATGGGAACCCACTCATTACTACCAGGAACCTGAGATTCTTAGAAGCCGGAAGGCGTCTGCTGCAGACGGAAATGTTCCGTGAACACAAGCAAAACCTCGTGCTCTCTCCCCGGGGCGGACAGAGCAGGGTGCGGACACATTTCTCCGCGACCTGGGCCTCAGGACCTGAATAACCGGACTCCGCCGGCACTGCTCCTCCCCAGATTACACTACTTGGCTAAATTCTCAGAGTGAATAAAATACCAAGTTTTATCTCCCAAGCTGCATATTTTTTTAATTGATTTCAGGGAGGAAGGGAGAGGGAGAGAGAAACATCAACGAAGAGAGAGAATCATTAATCATCTGCCTCCTGCACGCCCCACCCGGGGGATGGAGCCCCCAACCCGGGCCTGTGCCCTTAGCAAGAATCCAACTATGACCTCCTGGTTCCTAGGTCAACACTCAACCCCTGAGCCATGCCCTCCGGGCCCAACCCACGTTGCTTTAAAGCTACAGCCAGTTGCAGAGGAGGTACTGGTAGACGTGCTGGCTGGTCATCCCCATCCTCTCCCCAGAGCAGACATGGGGGAGGGGACAGGGGAGGCAGTGTGGGTTGCGGGTCCCAGAGGCGGGCCCTTACCTCTGGGCCGGGGTGCTGTAGCTGTTGTCGTAGGAGTCGTAGTTCTGCTCGTCATACGCGGTGCCATAGCCGTCATCGTAGTCCTGCACAGAACGGGAGGGGGACAGAGACCGTCAGAGGGCGTCGGGGAAGAGCGAGGCCTCCTGCGTGCTCTGCGCCTTCACTCACGCAGCCAGCCCTTCGCCATGGGTCTGCTTAGAGGGCGAAGGGAGGTGTGACAGGGGCATCAATGGAAACTGCGTGGTAAAGCCTCCAAACGCAAACGCAGAGAGAAGCTGCCAAAGTGGCCGGAACCCACACTTTCCCGATGACGGGAGTGAGCCAAGGCCCACGGAGATCTAGGGAGCATTCACTTTTTTCTTTTAAGGCTCCATCTTGGGTATGAACAGGGAGCTCTGTCATATTTTATCTTCCCACCCCTCGCTCCCAGCTCTGTGGGGATCTCACCATCCAACAGCCACCGTCACTATGGAAACCAGGAGGCTGGAGCCAATGGAGGGGGCGCAGCAGGGGGGGGGGAGCTGTATCAAAGCCCCATTCTCCGAGGGATGTCTTTCTGTGACATGACTTGGAGCTCATCCTATGAAAACCCCCTTCTCTCCAGGGGAGTTTGAAGAAAATGCTCAGAGGCAGTTATTTAAGGCTCCTGCTGCCTGTGGCGGTGGAGAAAAACCAGAGCCGACACAGGCGGCCAGGAAACAGCCGGGAACAGGTGTCCACCCACAGGGGCTCGGGGAAGCTCTGATCCGTTTCTGGGAGTCTGGACGGCGGTGTGCGTGCAGCCACAAGCACGTGCCCAGGAGCCCCGAGCGGGCCCTGAGCTCCCTCCGGGGCTGACCGCGAGGGTCGGCACAGGAGAGAGAGGCGACGCCAATGGCAGAGTTAGTGTAAGCTGGCTGGCTGGGTGGGTGTGGAAAACCCGCTCCAACAGGCGCCCAGAGGAAGGGAGAGGGAGAGAGAGAGAAATATGAACGGGGAGAGGGAACCTTTGATCGGCTGCCTCCTGCATGCCCCCTGCTGGGGATGGAGCCGAAACATGGGCCTGTGCCCTGACCAGGAATGCAACCATGACCTCCTAATTCATGGGCTGACACTCAACCACTGAGCCACATTGGCTGGGCTCCCAGAAGTCTTGGTGATAGATTTTAGTTTCAAAAGCCCCACAGAACCAGTCTCCCGTCCCCGCTGAGCCCACAGTGGGCCAGACACATCCGCCTCTGTCACCGCCCAGAAATGAGGGGCACGGCCTGCCCTGCCCCTGGGACAGGGCCCCGTCCTGCCTCCTCTTCCACACAATCAGGGCACTGCCCTCCGGGGGCAAAGCCTGCCCAGCTCCAGGCCCGACCATCATGGCTCAGGGGTTGAGCATCCACCTATGACCCAGGAGGTCACGGTTTGATTCCCAGTCAGGGCACAGTCCCGGGTTGCAGGCTCCATCCCCAGTGTGGGGTGTGCAGGAGGCAGCCGGTCCATGATTCTCTCTCATCATGGATGCTTCTATCTCTCTCCCTCTCCCTTCCTCTCTCTAAAATCAATTTTAAAAAAAGAGGCATGCAGTAGTGTCTGATAAATGAATGAGTGAACGGGCGAACGAATTAAGAAACAAGTGGCAGGAAAGAGAGCAACAGCTTCTTCGAACGAATGCACATCGAGGGGACGCGGTGCCATGGACAGCCGTGTTCGGAAAGAGTGTCCGTTCCGACCAGCCCTTCCTGAACTCCTCTGCCACACGCCGCCCACCATGCTCAGGCTCCTGCCTCAACGGGAAGTTCCCCTTTAAGACGTCGGGTTCTATTTCTGCACATCAGAGAGACATCGTTAAAAACAGTGGACGAACGCGGACGAGAAAGAAAAATAGAGGAATACACGTCCCTGCCTCCTTAACAAAGACTCGCTCATGTTTTGCATCAGCTACACCTCTGGGCTGTTCTCGTCAATGAAGAAGGTGTCTAAATGCTATTTCATGCACAGGGCGACCCGGCCATGGGGTCGGTGCCGGGGCGTCAGCAAGGGACGCCTGTGCCACCCCTGCCATTCCGACCCGCACACCCCAACCCGCACACCCCAACCCGCACACACCCCTGCCATTCCGACCCACACACCCCGACCCGCACACCCCGGACAGCGGGCAGGCAGGCCTTTGAAAAGAAGAGCTTTTCCAGGATAAAAGAAACAGCGTGACGTTTAATTCTATTTCTGTCCCGGGCAAAAGCAAGCACGGCCTCTCAGCTGGGGAAAACCATTTTACACAGACAGGAGGATTGACAAAAGACGGCGATTTTAACAAATAAGGGTTCGGCTCTGAGTCCTTTTAAAAAAGACAATTATCCTGGGAAAACCTCACCTTCATCAGGGAGATGTCTGATCGTGGCAAAAGGCACCACGTTTTCACGGGCAATGCAGCGCTCACCGCTCACGTAAGCCGGTTTCACAGCGGCTGCTCTGAGTTTATCCAACAAACAGATTAGCTCCTTGGGCTGGGAGACATTCACTTCTCTGGGGCTTGGAGTCATAACGTCCTCGTTGAGTGTCACCCATGACCATGAACACATCACACCATGTCACGTTTTTTCATCATTAAAGACAAATCACATTATTGCTGATCGTTCTAAGTAATAATGACCCCTACCTTCGTGTGCATAAAACACCATCTCACAATCAGATTGCACGGGCGTGAGAACTGTATTATTTGTCCTGGAGACTCAACACCTTCAGGGCCTAATGCCCATGTTCAGACGCCAGTTCAAAGTAAGCAAAACAAAACAAGAAAGCAACCCCCCGAAGGCGTGGGGAGCTGGCAGCACGGTGCTTGCCAGGAAAGCCCGCTTTGTTTCCTTCGACATGCTCAGGCCATTGGGCCAGAGACCCACAGGGTCAGGCGGATGTGTCCAGGGGGGACTAGGTGTTCAAAAATGCAATCCAGGAAAATAGAAGGACAGAGAGGCGAGCCAGGAATCCCACCGCGGGAGAGGGAGGAGCGTAGACAGAAGTTTACGTCCATCCCAGCGGTGTCCTCCTGGGGAGCCTGTGCTCCGCCTGCCCGAGCCGCCAGTCCGGCTCCCGCCTGGCCTCCAGGTCGTCTCCTCTAGAAGCCGTTCCCCATCGCACCCAGGCTCAGTCCTCCCCTCTGCCTCCCTCATGCTCTGTATGCCAGCCACCTGCGGGCACTGATATCCTAAGCAGTCACTGTGTCTTGTCTCTGCATCAAGAAAGCACACGTTCATTCCTTATTGCATATGCTGGATGCTGTGGACAGAGAGGCATGACCGCTGCCATCAACCCTGTGACTGTCATGGGGACCAGAAGACGGGAAGGCGTGACCACTCCGCTGCAAGGTGAGCACCTGCCCTGACGCGCGCACGGAGTCAGACCACAGGGAAGGACCGCCCACGAGACGCAGAGGCCACGGATGGGTTCCAGGATGGGACTCGGCTGCCTGGCTTCCTCGATGGGACCCACGTTCTGTGCTGCTGACCTAATGCTCCCGGGAAGGGTAACACCAAGAGTCGGGTTCTTGAGGAAAACCCAGGGCTCTCCGCGTCCCCTGGGGGCGCTCCACACCCATCACTGCAGCTCGAGCCCAGCCATGGCCACGGGGCCGCCTGGGAGGGACCAGCCTGGCCGGGAAAGCAGGGTCTCCCTGTCTCAGGGACACCGACCGCCCAGCCCGCCCTTCCTGCCTGGGCCACTTTTGGGGGTTGTTTTGTTTAAAGTCAGGAGGAAAAAAATAAACTCCTCCATATTCATAGATTTAAATCTGAAATGACTTCCTCAAGTCTTGGGTTTCTAAAATAGGTCAATCTTTCACGCGTTCAGAGAAGACATCGGCGTGTGAAGCTCCTGACAGACATTTCGAGTAAATTGCCTGCGACTCTGATTCTTGCTTCTGGTAAAATGGATATTTAAAAATAAAATAAAATAAAATAAAAAATCACAGAACCTTCCTCTTTTTGTCAGAAATAAAAAGGTGTCCCTAGGCTTTTCAATTCACATCTAAAAATGCATTTTCATAAATAACCTTTTCACAACTGCACTCTGTTTTAATCTGTCGCCATGGACGACAAGGTAATGGGAGCAGCTGGGAGGTTAGGGAACTGTCACAGAGCGAAGCCGGCGCCACTGTGGGGAGGTTCTGCCCTCGCTGCTGTCTCCTCAGCACCCAGTCCCCAAACGGGTCCGGTAATTAAACCTTCAGGGGAGCTCTCCAGAGAACGGGGAGCATCATGTCACAGAATCTTCCCACAGAATCCAGGTTAAAGAACTGCATGTGCCTGGCTGGTGTGGCTCAGTGGCTGAGCGCCAACCTGCGAACCAGGAGGTCACAGTTCGATTCCCGGTCAGGGCACAGGCCCCATTTGAGGGCTTGATCCCCAGTGTGGGGCAGGCAGGAATCAGCTGATCAATAGTTCTCTCCCATTATTGATGTCTCTCTCTCCCTTTCTCTCTGAAATCAATAATATATATATTTAAAAAGAACTGCATGTACATTTAATACACACACACACTTTAACACTCAATTCTCACTCCTTTTCAGGCTTAACTGATTTGAAATAATGGGTGAAGCCAGACTAAGTTTGGAACAAAGAAAATTTATCCCAATGTGCAGCGTAACTTTTTTATTTTTAATGGGATACATAAAAGTTAAAGTTATGGTACAAAACAGGCAACAGCGGACGAGTTGAGCGTGCGACCGAACCAGCGGGTTCTCCATGTTTGGGATTCCATGGCTTCGCGGAACCATCGGTGCCTGGACCAGGCGGTCAGCGGTTTGAAAACCCGAGTTGATAAGAAAATGATTCCCATCCGAAGATTATTTTAAATTGTGATAATAAGCTATGTTAATAAACACTGATGCTATAATCACCCAAAGTGCATATACACCACATACGTGGTTTTCCCTAAAGACCTTCACTGATAGTCCCGTCGTTGAAATTTCCAAAGAGTTCATTCTTTTTTTTAAATATATTTCATTGACTTTTTTTTACAAAGAGGAAGAGAGAAGGATTGAGAGTTAGAAACATCGATGAGAGAGAAACATCAATCAGCTTCCTTCCTTCCTTCCCTCCTTCCTTCCTTCCTTTCTTCCTTCCTTCCTTCCTTCCTTCCTTCCTTCCTTCCTTCCTTCCTTCCTTCCTTCCTTCCAGGTGGCCCCTCAAAAAGTAAATAAAAAGCTCTCCATGTCTGTCCTCCCAGAGGTCACAGTCCAGGGCGGAGGGAGACATGGAATGACCATGGGAATGCAGGAGGTCAGCTACTCCGAACATCCTAGTGAATGCACCGCAGTGGACAGACGTGCAGGAGGCGTTGGTGCAGAGAGCAGCGTGAGCAGAGGTCCGGACGCCCGTGGGCAAACAGCATCCGCACCATTTTCCCTAATCCTTCGTCTCTCTTTGATGCCTGTAGTTACTTCGCCACGCTCACTCCTGCTTTTAGTTATCTGAGTCCTCTCTCTCTCTTTCCTTGATGAGCCTGGTTAAAGGTGTGTCAATCTTGTTTATTTTCTCAAAGAACTAATTTCAGTGATTTTTTGCCTGGTTGTTTGTTGTTGTTTTTTAGACTCTCTTTCGCTTGTTTCTGCTCTGAACTTCATCATTTCCTTCCTCCTGCTCAGGTTCGGCTTTGTTTGCTGTTCTCTTTCAAGTGAAAAGTCGGGTTATTTGAGATTCTTCCAGTGTCTTGAGGGAGGCCTCTGCTGCTCTGAATTTCCTTCTCAGGATCCTCTCCCTGTGTCCCACGGCTTTCCCAGAGGGCAAAGGGGGGACACACAGTGGTGGAAGGAGACACGACGTGGGGTGGTGAATACACAACACAATACACAGGTGGTGTGTTACAGAACTGTCCACCTGAAACCTACAGTTATTAGCCAATGCCACCCCAACGCATTCAATTAAAAGCAAATACAGAGCAAAACATGAGGACCTATTGGGTCTTGCATCTCAGCCCTGCCACTGCCGCCCTCTCTGACGACAGTCACACACTCGTCCTTTAAGACTTCCGTCTGCTGATGTGAAACACCGTCCACTGCTAGGTCCCTCCACGGCAAACCGGGAAGTGACAGCAAGGATGAGGGGGTTGCATTCTCCCTGCCCCCAGGCGCCTCTCAGAGTTCTATTCGTTGTCTATTCAGCCAGCCTACGGACCAACCAAGGAATGACTGAATGGGGAACGAGAAAACCTGGTTTTGCATGAATTAAGAAAACAGTGAGTTTCTGTTTTCTTCCCTGAGAAGATCCTCGGCGAGGAATCCACACTGGGCAGCAGAGGGTAAGGGGAAGCGCTTCCGTGGAAAGACAGCCTGGCGCATGCAGGCAGCGTTTTTGTTTTTTTTTAACTGTGATTTTATTTATTTATTTATTTATTTTTATTAAATTATTATCTGTGTACATATCTTACCATTGCTCCCCCCATACATACCCTCCCTCCCCAGAGTTTTGCATCCATTGGTTGTACTTATATGCATGCATACAAGTCCTTCGGTTGATCTCTTATCTCCCCTTCCTCTCCCCACCCTCCCCGCTGTAATTTGACTAGTCTGCTTGTTGCTTTACTGTCTCTGCATCTATCTTTTGGTTCATCAGTTTATAATGTTCTTTATTATCCATAAATGAGTGAGGTCATGTGGTATTTCTCTTTCATTGACTGGCTTATCTCACTCAGCATGAGGTTCTCCAATTCCATCCAGGTTGCTCAGGCAGCGCTTTTTAAAGGACTGGATTGCGAGGAGGGCCCCAAGGTGGAGTGTGGAGGGACGTCACGGGAGCATCCTATGAAAGCGAGGCAACGCGCGCCCTGAGCCTAATCCTGGACTCCAAACCCACCACCCAAAGTCATCGTCAATGGCTCAGCCTTCAGCCAGTGGGTGAACAGGCCCCTCCTCCTTCAGTGTTTGTGCCTCCAGCACCGGGCACTCATGGGGCACGCACACACCCGGGGGGAGCAGGCAGGAAGGCACACAGGGAGAGGGGATGTGGCCGGTACATCGGAGCTGCTGTGCGCCGTGTCACTTACGTAATCGCCGTACGTGTCCTGCGTCGGGGGAGGCGGTGGAGGCCTGTACCCGGATGGGGGGACTCCTCTTGCTCTGGGGGTGAGAAGGCCTCGTCCCCGACTCACCAGCCCTCGGGTGGAGAGGACTCCCCTGGACGCTGACGCCCCTCGGGGGGCCACCACGCCCACGGGCCGGGTGGCGGCACCTCCCCTTCCCCTGCAAGCGAGAGGGACAGGTTAGCGGTGTCCGTCACGTTCTCCATCGCCCCCGTCCCCGACGCCTCAGAGGAGCGCCCGGCCCGGAAAAGGAAGGAGGAGCGATACGTGAAGTAGCAAGTGACGCAAGAGAAGAAGGGCGTCCACAGAAAGGGGTCCTCCGGGCAGCGCACCCCGCACCGGAGAACGGGGAACACCAGAGACTCTAGATGTTGCCGAGAACCCAAAACTGCCCTAATCAATAAATCACGATTTTTTTTTAAACACACACACACACACAGCAGCATTTACCGAGACAACCAAAGAAGTGAAATGAGATGTTCTGGTGCACGGCTAAGAAAATAGGTACAGAAACCATGTAAAAACAAAACAAAAACAAAAAACAAAAAGAAAAAAAAACACGAAACTCTGACGAGAGACATGAAAGGAGAAACAGTCCACGCCCATGGTTGTACGAGTCCATGGTGCCACGCTGCCCCTTCTTCCCGACTTGACGTGTGGACTCAGTGCAAGCCCCAGCCAAGTCCCAGCAAGCTCTTCTGTAGATGGGCCCACATGTTCTAACGTACACCAGGAAAGATTAAAAAATAATACTGATAAAAACAGAAGCGACAATACACCGCTGAAGAAGGGAACTGTTGGAGGACCCCGAATGCCTGACTGCAGGACTCACGTAAAAGCCACCGCAATCCAGAGAGCGAGGACTGAAGGCGGGACTAGACACACAGACTGAGGGGCAAAAACAGAGGGCCCAGACACGGATCCACAGAGAGTCAGGGATCACCGACAAAGGAGCAAAGACAGGAGAACCATTTTCACAAACGCCCGTCCCTCTGGACTGCACGGAAAGACGCTGTGATTTCTAGCATGCCGTGTTCCTCCTCTACCTCGGGCGCACGCCTAGAGAAGTCTTCAGTGCGATCAGGAGAAAAACCCAGTTTCCACTCACAGTGCGTCTAACCCTCCGGTGACATTTCAGTTCATCTGTGTGTATTCCAGCCACGAAAGGTTCCCGCTGCCTTATCGAATGCCCCTCCGTGGCCATCCTACTATATGGGCCACAAAACAGTCACCATGACTTTTGGATATATAAATGCCTGTCTTCCAACGTGGTGGAAGACATGCATTTATACATCTGAGAAGTTCACAGTTCCTCCCCATCATCATGAACTCTGTTAGATCACCATGGGGCATACGGAGTCACACAGAGGTGCCTGTCACAGAACGTCAGGCAGGTCTTGTGACAGGTGTAGCTCCAGACACTTCTCTGTGAAGGTGCGTTGAAGACTCATTCTCAAGGGAACGCCAGTGGGAATGGAGTCGAGCAGTAAGAGCACGGCTTTAAGTGATACCTTGAGGAGAGGAAGGCGTGATGCCGAATGACACGCGACCACAAACGCCCCGTCATACTACAAAGCACTCGCTGAATGCTACAGCCAGGCTCCGGGCAGAGCGGTGCTGGGGTCTGGGAACGGAAAAGGGCTGTCCGGCGAGATGTACAATGAAAACCTTTTGCTTGAAACGTTTATCCACGTGGATAGGACCAGGTGCAGCGCTGCTCTCAGCCAGGACACGGAAGAGCAGAAAGGTAACACCGAGCAGAAGGCTTCATAGGCGGGCGGGTGGGTGGATGGATGTGGTTGTGATGGCTCCTTCTGTTTATGCATTTTCAGCGGAGTGACCAGGGCTTCTGGCTTTGAACCCCCAGCGCCAGACCTGCCCCTGGAGAGCTGAGTCCTCCCTTCGAGGATGCCGCTGTCTTCCTATTTGGGTGGTCGGAGCCTTTCCCCTTTGTGTGTGTGTATTCAACCAAAGAAGCAGGAAAGATCTTTATCACTTCCCATGGGGGCTCTGGGGCTCCAGGACTCCGGCACCCGCTTCTCCCTCTCTCCTAACAACCGCACCGATGACAGAGGAGCCGAGGGAGGCGTGGAGGTCCCTTCAGGTCCGATGGCCAGGGACTGCCCAGCATCGATGGGTGTGAGACATTCCACGCTGAGTGTGGGGGCCTCTCGAGTGATCAGTTTGGAACGGGGGCATTTAAAACATGAATCTAGTTTCATCTTAAAAGATCTTGACGACGGTGAATCCCACCTGGAGGAATGGTACAGCCAGGCCCGGAAGGACGGCAGCCGTGGTGACAGGACACACTGATTGGCCGGGAGAGCTGCCTGGCTGAGTAACGGACATGGGATGGCTGCACACACCTGTTCTGACGACAGAAAACGCAAGCCCGCGGCGATGGCCTACCTGGCTGCCATGGGGGTCGGGGCGCCTCTGGTGCGCGAGGCGGACTTCCCTCGGGCGGCGGGGGCCTCCGCGCCTTCGGAGCCGCCGTTCAGGTAGGTGAGCTCCTGCAGCTGCGCCTGGCGGATCTCGTCGTTGTAGTCCTGGGGAGGGAGACGCAGCAGCGTCACAGCCGCGAAGAGGCGGGCGTGGTCAGTGCACCAAGCACACGGGTTTTAACAGATGTTTTTATCGATGTCAGAGAGGAAGGGAGAGGAGAGAGGCAGAAACATCAACAATGAGAGAGATTCATGGATTAGCTGCCCCCTGCACGCCCCACACTGGGGATCGAGCCTGCAAGCCGGGCCTGTGACCTGACTGGGAATCGAACCTTGACCTCCTAGTTCATAGGTGGAAGCTCAACCACTGAGCCACACTGGCCAGGCAGCAATTTTTTTTTTTTTTAACAGAAATAAAGGGTTAGGAAAATAGTTGACGTCAAAATACAAGAGTTGAGTTGGTTAAAATGAAAATGCATCAGTAAATTTTAAAAAGTGAGAAAGCGCAGTACTGTTCCCCGAGGTAAACTTGTCTACCATCAGCCGTCACTCTTCCCCTCAGGATGAATTCCAGGTGGGGCATTTATAATGAAATTAAAGCCGCACGTGACAGATCCACTGGCAAGGCCACCACAGCCCCGCTCCCCGGTTGCCGCCAAGCATGTGTGATGGGCCCGCCGGGGAGCAGGAGGCAGACGGGCCACAAGGGCCTGCACGCCCTTCGGTCCATTCTCGCTGGGATATGCAGCACATCCCCTTATACTGAGAAGCCTGCTCTGGTGCGTCTTATGTTCCTGTCCACACGCCCCCTGAGGAATTCTGGGAGTCACCCCTGACTTTCCCCCCTTTCCCAACTTCCTGCTCCGTCAACCCCCACAAGAACCATGTGTGCCGAGCAGAGAACACTGTGTCTAGCTCCAGTGAAAGGAACGTTCGGACGTGCATGACGGACAGGAGCGGCACCTCACTCAGCTGGAGGAGGAATAGGGATTTCTACAGCATCACCCGAGGGTGAGTATCAACTACCTGCCAGAGAGGGGGCGCCAGTGTTCCCGACGGGGTGGGCGGGGGGGAAGGAGGTAGCGTGTTTTAAGACTAACGGACCGGCGTGTTGAGCTCCCTGCGAGCGGCAGGCGAGCTGAGGAGCAGGCCAGGGGTCACGGTGCACACAGACGCTTTCTCCCACTTGTTCATGGTCCTGGGGCCCCAAGAGGCCCACTGGGATCCATCAGTAGCGCGACCTCTCACAGCCAACCTATAAATACGCTTCCCGCCATGTGACTACAGCGTGTGAGGCTTAATGAGCTATTTGTAAAGCACACGCTAAATAAAACGTGCCGCATGAATGTTAAATGCTTGCAAGTGAGCCGAGACCGGTTTGGCTTAATGGATAGAGCATTGGCTTGGGGACTGAAAGATCCCGGGTTCGATTCTGGTCAAGGGCATGTACCTTGGCTGCGGGCATATCCCCAGTAGGGGGTGTGCAAGAGGCAGCTAATCGATGACTTTCTCTCGTCGATGTTTCTAACTCTCTCTCTCCCTTCCTCTCTGTACAAAATCAATAAAATATATTTTTTTAAAAAAATGCTTGCAAGTGAGAGGCGGGGTGACACAGAATCGTCCGAGCTAAACATAGATCCCGGGGAAAGTGGACGCAGGCCCAATGCCCGCACACGGAGGGCACTGGGTCTGGGTCCGAGAGCAACGCACTGCCAGGGCGGGTCCAGACTCACAACAGGGTGAGTCCCACGGGGACCAGGGACTGTGCTCTTTGACTTCCTTACTCGTGTGACCTCAGCAGCGTGACCTCATCTCTGAAGGCCTGTGACCTCACAAGGAAAGGGGGAATGATGACCAGGCATTCGTGGGGACAGGGTGAGGTCCCTTGCCATGACACCGGTGAGGCTCTGGGGCAGACAAACGGCCCTGCAAGCACCAGTGGCTGCCAACTCACCAAGGCTCTGAGTAAGGGAATGCCCGGCCGGCCGACGTGAGCATCTACCTATGACCAGGAGGTCACGTTCGATTCCCGGTCAGGGCACATGCTGGGTTGCCTGGTGAATCCCCATGTGGGGCGTGCAGGAGGCAGGCGATGTGATTGATGACTTTCTCTCATCATGGAAGTTTCTCTCTCCCTTCTCCCTTCCTCTTGAAAATCAATATAAATATACACTGAGTGGCCAGATGATCTCTGAACGCATAATAATCTGGCAACTCAGTGTATATTCTATATAATAAAAGGCTAATATGGAAATTGTCCCCTTGACCAGGAGTTCGACCAGCAGGCAGGTTGGCCAACCACCAATGTCCCCTCCCCCTGGCCAGGCTGGCTGGACCCCACCCATGCACGAATTCACACACCGGGCCTCTAATACACACACACACACACACACACACACACACTGAGTAGACAGATATGCGTTCAGAGATCTAATAATCTAGCCTCTCAGTGTTTATTATTAAAAACACATGCAAAGGAAGAACTGGAAGGGCACTCACAGGGATGAGGAACTTCTTGATCTCCTCCAGCGCGTGGCCCATGCGGGCGTAGGCCTCAGCGGGCGGGGCGAACACCTCGATGAGGACGTGGAGGTCGTCGTTGAGGTGGAAGTACTTGGCCTCGCCGCTTTTCCTCAGCTCTTCCTCCTGCGGAAACACAAGGCGCGTGGAGGCTGTGTGGCCAGGAGGAAAGAGGGAGACAAGAAAATGTGCCCCCAGCTCCTCGCATGCGGCTGTCCCCGAAGATCCGCCACCCCTAGCCAACGCCACCTAAGGAAGCGTTAACAGTGTAAACGGGTCCTGCCGGTCCGAGCCCAGGCTTTCAGGAAAACACAAAGGTATCCAGCTGGCGCTCAGTCTCGGCTTCTGTCTCGGGCCTGGGAGCCTGGCCCCTGCCCTCTGCCCCACGCTGGGCTCCCGCCTCCTTGGGCCCCTCCAGGCTCCACACAGACCACCTCTGTGGAACTGGACTCACAGCCCAGCTCGCTTCTGCACCGGTCACACTGTGACCCACAGCGCCCTGACCACGCCCTGACCAATCTCCAAAATACCTGCGCGCCCTGTCTGTCCCTTGCCCCTCTCCTGACTTCTCTCACTGCAGGTGCCCACATGGAGCACAGACTGAGACAGTCTCTCCTGGCGCTGCAACCATCTTGTTCAGGAAAGTGCTTGGCACAGAGCAGAAGCTCAACAGATACTGATTGGGTAGGTGACTAATTGTCTCTTCATGTCTCTGTCCTTTGGCTGCGGCAGGTGTCACTCAAAAGCACTGCCACATGCCAGGCACTACACCCTCGCTGAGGACAGGAAGGTGAACACCATAAACGGTGGGCTTCCTTAGCTCACTGTCCGTCACCGTGATGCATGTTTTCTAATTGATCGGTTGTTGTTTGCACAATGAAATAGAGGGGGAAATGAGGAGGGAAAACAGATCGTTCAGGGACCAGTGATTTCGCTACATCATCTTTATCTTTTTTTTCTTAAGATTTTTTTTTATTATTATTTTAAAGAAGGAGGAAGGGAGAGGGAGAGAGAGAGAAACATCGATGTGAGAGGAGCGCATCACTGGCTGCCTCCTGCGTGTCCCGCTCCTGGGGATCAAGCCACAACCTGGGCCGGGAATCAGACAGGCGACCTCTCCTTCCACAGAACAGAGGAGTCTGGGAAACACAGCATCAGTCAAGATGGGAACGCTCAGTGAGTCCTTCCACTGACTGGCGTGACTGAGAATTACGTCACACGCCAACTGGAAGTTCACACTAAGGCTTCCCTAAGCAGGCTGGGGCCTGGGGGAATCTCCATTGTAAAGCAGCGTCCCAAGGGCATCTGATGCAGAGCCGTGTTCTCATCACGTAAGAGACGGACCCTCCCTGAGCAAGCAGGCCGTACCCTCGGATGCTCTGAATCACACTTTTCTTACATTTAAAAGCAAGATTTTGTTTATCTCCCGTCATGTGTCCAAGGATGACATGGAGGAAGGCACACGAGATATCACAGCGTGTCTGAGCCACAGTGACTCTTCAGTAAACGAACGGTGGCTATTTTCACGCGAAAGCTGCTACTGAGACAGACTCTCGGGCAAGAAGGCTGGACTTGGTCTAAGTGACTTTCTTGTCTGACACAGCCATTGCTCCACCCGTCACGGTAAGTGATCACTAAACACAGATTTGGTTCTCAGTCACATCATCCTTTCAGCATGACAGAGCGACAGAGCGATGGGGGAGAACATTGGAAACATGAGCATTCTTCTCAGAACTTGTGTATTATATTTTAGAAAGTGATTAGTAAAAATAACAGTAATCTTTGCTTATTAAAAAGGGAAAGCACGCTGCCTGTCAGAATGGCTCCCGTCAATAAATCAACAAGCAAAGTGCCACAAGGATCCGGAGGAAGGATCTCTGCACCGCAGCTGAGATGTCGACTGGTGCTGCCGCTGCGGGGCAGTGGACCCGGCGATTGTGGGGATTTACCCAAAGAAACCCGAAGCAACAATTCAAAAGGATGTATGCACCCCTGTGTTCACTGCACTGTTATTTACAATACCCAACGTCTGGAAGTGCCCGTCAGCAGACGAGTGGATAGAAGAGCTGTGGTGCATTCACACAGGGAATGCCATCGGGCCATGAGCAGGAGGACAGCTCACCTTTTGCAACAGCATGGGTGGCCTGGAGAGTGTGGTGCCGAGGGAAATGAGCCAGTCAGACAAAGACAAGGACCACGTGATGTCACTTACATGTGGCATCTGATGAACAAAATAAACTAACAAGCAAAATAGAAACAGACTCATGGATACAGAGAGCAGACACACTGCTGTCAGAGGGGAGGGGTACAGAGCTGGGTGAAAAGGGGAAGGAATTAAGCAGAACAAAAAGTAAAAGGCAAAAAAACACCTCTCAGGCACAGACAACAATAAAGTGATTACTGGAGGGGAAGGGGGAAGGGGAGAGATCATACAATACAATGGATGATGTAAAGGTAAATGGGGATGGAAGGAGACTTGACTTGGGCGGCAAACCACAACACCACACACAGATGATATTGTATGTTGTAGAACTGGACCCCTGAAAGCTAAATAATTGTATTGACTAACGACACTCCAGTAAGTTCAATGAAAGAAATCAATCAATCTTGAAATTCTAAAAATAAAAAAGGAGACAGTTCACATGAATACATCCAAGTAGAATAACTGTGTGCAAGCAACTATTAAAACTTCTAAAGTCAATAGTATTAACTTGACAAAATGCATAGGTGCCAAAAGAAGGGCAAAAAGGGCAAATAAACGTATCTACTTTATAAAGTCAACGAAGGACAAGACCCCAAGGAGCGTGTCTGAAGGGCAAACAGTCTTGGTGAGAGGACAGACAGCTCCTTGCTCTGCGTGACAATGTCAGTGTCCCTGTGCTTTCTGCAATGTGACATACCGTTTCCTGAATCAAAACCACAGGTGCCCAGCTGGCAGGACTCCTGCATTGAGTGTCTGCCCAGAGGGCAGCTCCTGTATTGAGTGTCTGTCCCCTGGTAGTCAGTATGTGTCATAGCAACCAGTTGTTCAGTTGTTCGGTCATTTGGTGGTTCAATCGCTTAGGCTTTTATATATATAAATGTAGGGATACAATGGATGATCTTACCTTTGCCTTGTCTCTCATGGAGCCTTTGCCAAGGATGGACATTTTGGTCAAGGTCTCTTCTTGTAAACGCTTCAGAGAGTTGCCACGTGGACCCAGAAGCTTCCCCACAAAGTTGAACTAGGAAAAACACAGAAAGCAAACTTGTAGCACTTGTATCTGAAGGCAATGTCTTACTCTCGAATGCTAGGAGACACGGTGGTATGCTCCATATATCATTGATTAATCACAAACAGGTCAGTTCCTGCTACATGAATCGCATTGCTTCTACACACCACAGGTAACAGGGCTAAACACGGTAAGATAAAATAACAATTAATATGTTTCTCTATACCAATCATGCTCGTGATGGCTGTATTTCACAATCTGTAAATGCAGTTAATTTCCTTGACAACAGTCACACACATTCAACACCCACCATGGACAGACGGAGCCAGGGTTAGGACACGGGTGAGGGAAAATGCCGCTACATGCTACATGTCCTGCAATGTCCCCCGGCTGGTCATAGCACTGGGTTCTTCAACCTGGTCAGCGCTCAGCCTTGGCCAGTCAACCAGTGAGGCTGACTTCCACATGTGGTGGCTGACAAAAGCTTTGCCATAAATCCACGGACCTCTTGGACAACTAGCTATGGCAATGGTTCTCAGCCTTCCTAATCCCTCAACCCTTTAACACAGTTCCTCATGCCGTGGTGACCCCCAATCATAAAATTATTTTCATTGCTACTTCCTAACTGTAATTTTGCTGGTTATGAATTGCAATGTAAATATCTGTGTTTTCAGGTGGTTTTAGGCTCTACAGCAGCAGTTCTCAACCTGTGGGTCACGACTACCTGGGTTTCAAAGCTCGGCTTTGCCATTTGGCATCTGAGGAACCCTGGGCCAGTTATCCAACCTCTGCACCCCTGGGCTTCCTCACCTCTGCATACCTGCTGTTCAACGGGACTGTCCTGAGGACTCAGCTGGTCCATATAAATAGACTAGAGGCCCGATGCACAAAATTCATGCAAGGAGCACAGCCCCCGCAGCTGTAGGGGCTGCCTCTACCTCGGCCCCCGCCAAAACAGCTTTGTCCGGAAGGTTGTCCGGAAGGTCATCCAGTTTAATAAGCATAGTACACTTTTATTATTATAGAAGATTAGAACAATGCTTGGTGCAACATAGGCAATAAGTATGTCTTGGGTGAAAGAATTATCCTTAGAAATGTCACACAATGCTTGAAGCCTCACTACAGTGAAGCTGAACCATGAATACTTCTCACTCCCCCACAGAAGGGCAGCCTTGTTTGCTACCCAGAGAGCACCTGTCTGTCCTCCTAGGCACGCTGGTTGGAGACAAATCTCATGCCTTCACCGCTCCGGTGCTGGCCACCATAATGGGGCCGTTCCCGGGCCGCACCGCTGCTGTTTTTAAGAGAAAATTGTCCTCCATTTGCCTTGCTATGATAATTGAAGTCGTTTTCCTGAAATAGCCACTTGAAGGAAAATCAAAGTACTTTTTCCTTGCCCACTTTTCAGCTTATTGGTCTTCAACAAGACTCAAGCATCTCTTTTTGATCTTTACATGCAACTTCGTTTTATTTTTAAATGTTATGCAAATCACTTTTCAAACTGTATCAGTAACACAGAATTGGAAAATATCAGACAAAACTACAAGGCTGGGGGGTCAGTCTCTTGACCCGGCCACCCCCTCCTGCTTCTTGTGCCCGATTTTCTCCGCTTTTACCTTCTTGGAATTTCTATTATTTGGATTCCAGAGCCCTGGGTTGGATCTCTAAGTTTCCTCTTTTTCCTCTCTTTCCCTTTCATCTTCTCTCTCTCTCTAGTTTTGGGGAGACTTCATTCCACTAAGCTGTCACACCTCTTACTCCTTCAATCCCTCAATCAGACGTTAAACTACTGACAGCATTTCCCACTCAATCGGCTGGGCCCCAGCAGCAAGCTAACCTACTAGTCAAAGTGTCTGCCCCCTGGTGGTCAGTGTGCATCACAGCGACTGGTCGAACGGTCAAACGAACAAATGGTCCCACACTTAGCATGCTAGGCTTTTATTAGGTAGGATTTCATTGTGTGCCTCCATGTGTACAGGCAAAAGTGTTCCCATACCCACGACCACTGACTTTTCTATTACAAATATATACTACATCATCGGGGTTACCGTTGCAAATAGAAAGTTTTTCCGATGGTTATGAAGACGGCGAATCAGCATACGGTAAGACAGCTGAGCTCCACTGCGTGCTGCGTACCGGCCAATTACCAGGCCCTTTGTCGGCGAGGCCCGGTGTCCTGAACCCGCCTCAGTGGATCTAAACCAGATCTGTGACCCGACCCTGCTCCTGGGGGAGCAATTAGCGACGCTGTCATTTCATAAACAACGAAGCCTCCAGAACATGTCACCGTCTCCGTCCAAATGTGTCCCCTAATTGGCTGCTCCCTGGAAGGATGATTAGCCTGATGGAGGGCTGCCCGGCTGACCTCTGACTCAGCCCTGGAACTGAGCACGTAGCCTCTGCCACCGCGGGCTGAGCACGGGTCCCGCCAGGGCACCCAGCCCAGCACAGGGCATGGCCGCCCACGCCGTGGCTCCAGCCAAGGGCCCCACAACTGTTCCGGAGTCACTGCCCCACCACCTGACAGGGCAGGCACTTACTAAATATTCAATGAGTTCATTACAGGTTGGCAGTCTGCATGTGGGCCCCTGCTAACCTCCTGTCTGTCTGATTTTAACGCTGAAAGACTCCGATTCCGTAGTTGCACCCTAATGAAGACTGGTTAGGAAAAGACAGCGGAGCAAAGCCACTGGTCCCTTAATCAGGTGTTTTTTCCTCCTGATTTCCCTCGATTTCTGTGCAGCCAGCACAGACACCCTGGGCGGGCAGCGCTGGGTGAGCCGCTGCAGCGTCTGACATACGCCTGCGATCCAGGCAGGGTCACGGTCGTGTGTTCGGGCCACTGCGTGCATTTTCCATTCGGAAGCGCGTTCTCACTCACCAGGGCCCAAGTGCGCCCAGAGACAGACCACGTGCATGGCTGCGAAGGCGGGCTGGGCCCGTGCCTGCTCCCAGGGTCTGACGGGCCCTCCACTCCCCTCTGGCACCTCCTGCTTTCTCCCGGGACACTTCCCAAACCAGACTCCCGCCCATGTCCCTCCGTGTTGGGTTGCCAGGAAGAGGGGGTATGCTTCACACGGGTCTGAAACCTCCCCATCCCACTCCCGTCTCCATTCTCAGAGCGCTCCGCACAGGCTCACGTGCAAAAGGCACAGCTGTGCTGAGTCAGCCAGAGCTGTGCTGAGTCGGCCAGAGCAGCAGAGTGAACGCACAGGGTCTTGCCGACTGCTGCTTCACGGTGAGGAAGCCGGAACTCTGCCAACGCTATCAAAGCGGAAACCACGCTCTGGCATGAGAGGCCACAAATGGCAAAACATTAAGCCCTCTGCCTACCCCAGCGCCCACGTGGGAGCCCTGCAGGCCTCGGGTCCTGGGTGCACAGGGCCACTGGCCCAGGATCAGAAAACCAGTAACTGAGCAGTGGCACGTTATACTAATATATATATTGTATATATATAAATAATAAATATAGATATAAATACAGAAATATAAATATAAGTACATCCTAGAGGCCCAGTCCATAAAATTCATGCACAGGTAGGGTCCCTAGGCTTGGCCAGTGATCAGGGCCGATCTGCAGGGCGACTGGACACCCTCACTGGCACCTGACTTGGCTGGCCTGGCACCGCCCACTAGCTGGCCAGCCCCGCCCCCCAGCTGCCACAGTCTGTCACCTCCCTCTGTGGGTCTGTGGTCTGCTGGCTGGGGACAGTTCCTGTGTTAAGTGTCTGCCCCCTGGTTTTTCCACCGTTTGGTTGATTTGCATATTAGGCTTTTATTATATATGACATATATATATATATTTTAAATTGATTTTAGAGATAAAGGAAGAAGGAGAGAAAGAAAGAAACATCAATGATGAGAGAGAATCATTCATTGGCTGCCTCCTGCACGCCCTCCACTGGGATCCAGCCCACAACCTGGGCATGTGCCCTGACTGGGAATTGAACCCTGGCTCCTGGTTCATAGGTCACCACTCAACCACTAAGCCATGCTGGCAGGGCCAGTGGCATGTCTTAATGCCACCCTGAATGCTGCACTCTATGCCTCCCCGTAATTAAATAATCCCAGCCAATAATTACTCTACGTGCCCGCCCCCCCGCCCCGCCTCTGCGTGTTCACAGCCTGGACTAAATTTAATTCCACCTGCGACTCTTTCCCCAGAAATAACCCTTCTCACACCCGTAACGCCCATGGCGTCCCTCCCCTCTCGTGTTAATTCCGTTTCACCTGAATGACTTCGTGACATTCACCGCTTCTCCAGGCAGCGTGTGAATCCTGTGAGAGTCATTAGGACCCGCATTTGATTCATCATTTTTCCCATGTAAGAAAGGGTTTCTCAATAAATAATCAGGGAACTAAAGTGGGTTTTACCCCCAAATCAAATGGCACCAGTCAGCCTGGTTGTTGATAGGTTTTGTTTGCTGCAGACATTGTTGCAACATATTCAAAGTATAGGTAAAAGCCTTCTTTGCATTTCTTAAGTTCCCAACCACACATCTCTAAGATTACTGGTTGCGGGGGGACTATTTGTTGTTGCTCTGCTAACAGGAAGGCGACCTCCCTTCCACTTCTGAATGGTCGGCGGCCCACGTCTCAGACACCAGCGGCCCTGAACATCAGCGGTGCGTGCAGTGATGCCTCCTGCAGCCGCCACGGCAAGATGAATACCCATGGGGCACAGGCGAGGCATGGCCTGAGCTACCCCGCCGCATGTGCTTGCTCTCTCTGTTTGCTCACGGCGGGACTACAGTCTCATGGGGCGGGGAGGGGTCAATGGGAAAACAAAGAAAACATGTAGAAGCTGAACGTATAGGGTTAGCATCAAGTCCACATCAAGCCGCCCTGTGCCCACCGCCGGGCTGGAGAGCCATGCACCACCAGCCCCCACCCCCAGCGCAGACTTCTACTGGCACCAGCAGGAACACCTTTCCTTAGAACTGGTGGAAGTACACCGTCAGCCTTTGCCCCGGCTGGCAGCCTGCGCCCTCGGTGCTCCATCATGCTAAGCAGAGACGCCTCCCTCAGCATCCTGAAAGCAGGGTTTCTAAGCAGCCTGCTTCTAGCATCATAAATACTCGCCGTGGACGCTGCTATCCGTTAGACACGGAAACGACCATCTGTCTTCCTCTGCTCGCATCAAAGCTGACATTGCAAAGTGATGTTGGAGATTTTATCCCATATCCTTTACTGCATGCACTTACTCAGACACAACGGAGTATTAATTATAGATTCATCATCTACGAGGACACGCACTATGTGCTCACTCACACGCAGCAGAGGATTCGTTGTAGACTGATTAGCTACGAGGCTCTGAACCATCTGAAGATGGGCAGCGGTAAGATTGTCTACGGCGCATCAAGCATACAGAGGCTGCTGTATAGTTATCATCTTATGAAGGTCTCCATGAGCCATGCTTCAGGTCGTAATGACTCAATGAGAGGGTCCCAACAAAGTTTGCTGAAAGGTTCTGTACATATGACTGAACTCCTAGCAGGCTGACCGTCTAGAAATAGGACCTATGACCTCTTAAGCTCCAAACAAAGTATAAAAACCAACTATCTGAAGCCCCGAGGAGACTGGTCAGAAACAAGAAAATTCTGGAAGAGAGTGAGACTTGGGAGAAGGGAATATCCTGGGCAAATTTGCAGATTTTAGAATGTTTTAGCCTCAATAGCAGACTTTCAGGCAACTACAGCATTGAAATGTCAGAGAGGAGGAATACTAGAAAAGACAAGGTCACAGCTGAGGAGCCCCCGTGTCATGGACAAAATCCAACGATACATAAAAGGATAATATGTTGTTACCAGGTAAGGTTTAACCTAGGAATGCAAAGTTGGTTTAATATAAACAAATAAAATCAATAAGATTCACCATGTGAAAAATCCAAGAGAGTAACATCCTGTGTTCATTTCAATAGATGCAGAAATGGCATTCAATAACATTCACCACTTCGTCAGGATCAAACCCCTCAGCAAAACCGAAGTAGAAGTAACTTCCTCTAGCTCATAAAGGTCTTCTAATAAAAAACTTTTGGCTGTTATCATTCTTAGTGGTAAAATATTGAATGTTTCCTACATTAATAGGGGTAAGAATGCCTAATCTTCCCATTTGTATTTAAATATTATATTAGAGATACTAGCCAATACAACAAAGCAAGCTAAATACATAAAGAGCACACAAATTGGAAAAGAAGTAATCTGTTTATACAGATGATATCATTATGTATATTATGTATAATTTGTCATGTCCTAAAGCAGTGGTAGGCAAACTCATTAAAGCAACTTACTAGAATTAACAAGTGAGTTTAGCAAGGTAGCAGCATACAAAGTTGATATATAAAATTTTAATTAGAAGAAAAGAATTTTAAATATCTATTTTACAAGTGTCAAAACATAAAACTTTTAGGAACAAGTTTAACAAAAGACAAATCATCCCTTTATCCTGACAGGTATAAAATCCTGTTGATAGGAAATAAAAATCTAAATAAATGGAAAGATATACCATGATCAAGTAAGGGCAGTCTCAGTATTTTTAAGATGTCAAATCTCCCTAATCTGATCAACAGGTTCAATGCAAATCCCTACATTATGATTGTTTAGTAACAATTCATATAATACTTAATTAACTTATATAAAATTGCAAAGGATCTATATCCAAGAAATCCTGAGAAGGAAAGACAAAGTTGAAGGGACTAAGTTACCTAACTTGATGTCTCACTACAGAAAGCTATCGTAATGAAGACAGTAGGGGAGTAGCATCAGGATCCATAAGCAGAAAGTGAGAAAACAGACCTCACATTCAGTCATCTCATTTTCACCAGAGGTGCACAATCCGTGGGAAGGAAACATCTTCCAACAAGTGGTACTGAAAAACTAAGTATCGGTTTGAAGAAAAAACGACTTTTGACCTTCTATCTCACACCATCCACAAAAATTAATTTCAGAAGCATCGTAGACCTAAAAGGAAACGCTACAATGAAATACAGGAGACTGTCCTTATATTTAACAAAAGACTTTAAAATTTCCTTGAGCTTGGCAAAGATTTCCTAATTGGTAATAGGTAACAATCAGAAAAGGAAATCCTGATACATCAGACGTGATCAAAATCGAAAACATCTGCTTATCACAAGGCTCCATGAAGAAAATAGTAGAGGAGTCACAGACTGGTCCAAGTATTCACAAATCACGTGTCTAACAAACATGTGTCCAGGATATATAAAAGCTCCTACAATTCAATGATAAGAAGGTATCCATCCCCTTTAGAATAGGCCAAAAATCTAAAGACACAACAGGAGAGAAATGAACAGTCAATTTAAAAAAGCAGGCAAAACCGTTACTCACCAGGAAAATGCAAATTACTACCACAAGGAATGCCACCATATAATGCACCAGCAGACTGGCTGAAATGGAAGTGACGGATAACATCAAAAGCTGACGAAGACCTGGAGCAATCACGATTGTGGGCACTGTCCCTGGAAATGCCACATGGTACATACGGCCACTTTGGGGAGGAAAGCGGGAGGGGAGTAGTATGGCAATTTAAAACTAAATGCACAGCAATTAAATGCCTAAGCATTTACTCAACATAAATGAAAACATTTGCTCACAACATGATATGTATGAAAGCGTGTGTGCAATTTGATTTATAATAAGCTGCACCGTAAACTGCCCGGGCAAATGGACAACTTGTGGTGTACTTAGGTAACGGATTATTATTCAGCAATCTAAAAAAAATCACTACCGAGATCTACAAAATGTGCAAGAATCATGTACATGGACTCCCCAAAGAAAGAAAAACAAATAAAAATAGTATCCGTTCAGGCCAAATCTGAGGCCAAGATTTTAGCCTTAGATACAAACTTGAAAGCACCAGATAGCACAAAACAACACTTGTGCAATGAACGAAAGACAGAACCTTTTCTATAGAATGGATAACTAGAATAAATAGTATTTCGGACATTGGTGTGCTGAACCCCCTCATTTCATTCCTAATCCAGCTCTCCTCTGACACATAAAGAAACTACAGTGGCACGAAGTGAAATGAGCCGTCCCTCACATCGCAGTGTGCCCCGTGAGCGTGCTTTTAGGGCTCCACACCTCAGACAGTAAGGACAGGGTCACCACGATCTGGACTGCGTGTGAGTCTGTGTGTGCCAGGGCGGGGGCGGGCTGTGCTACGGGAAAGACCCCACGGGGAAAAGATCACACACAACAGAGACGCCGCTCCCTGCGAGCAAGCTCCGCGCCTGCCCTGGGCCTCACTGTCTTACCTTAGGGAACTGTTTTACGGGGATTAACACTTTCTGTCCCAGCTTCATGTTCTTATTAATCACCACATCAATGTACTTCTCTTCGTCCTTTCCTTCTCCTTTCTGAAACTTTTCTATTTCTGTGGAGGAAAAAAGATAGCCATGAAGCGTGTGACTCCGAACGCCAGGGGCCAAGAGCCCGCGGCAGCTCTGCGGTGGCAAACGCAGGAAGGCGGGCTACCAGGTGTCTCCGTCGCCTCCATAGTTCACCACCAGGGCCTTGGGGGGAATGCGCAGGCCACGTTAGACCTCAACTGCCAGTGCTAATGGAAGCTCGCAGACCGACACGGGCATCAGGAGAAGTTCCCTGGGACCTTCTGGAACCCGAGAGCAAGGCTGAGCCAACAGCAGCCAACAGCCAGGAAGGGTTCTCGGGGCGGGGTTCACTGGCACCCTGCCCACCTCTCCCAGGCCCCTCCCCTCAGGCACTCATTCTTCAGCCTTTCAAAGCCCCAGACAACCTGTCAGGGGCCCGCCCCCAGCCAATCTTCCCTCCTCTCCGGGGACAAGATCAATGATAGCCCCGTCTTTGCCAATGCTTCTCCTCTTCACCTGGGATGGCATCTGCTGCAGGACTTCAGCTCCACACACACCAGCATCTCCTTCAAGGTCCGACCCCGGCAGCCGCCACTCTGCACGCACCTCCGGCCCTGTCCTCGTGGGGCAGTGGGGGTGGGAGAATGGTTCCCTCCCGCCCTGACACGCACAAAGCGTCTCACACACAATGGCGCTGGCGCTCTCCACTGCAGACAGCGTGTCCACCAACTCATACACAGAGATCCTCACCCTCCACCCCGGACTGGATGTGATTTGGAGGTGGGGCCTCTAGGAGGGGATAGGTCATGAGGGTGGAGCCCTTGTGAGTGAAATTAGTGCCCTTCCAAAACAGACCCCCCGCGAGGACACAGCCAGAACACTGCCACCTGTGAACCTGGACGCACCCGCACCGGACACCACACCTGTTCCCCGAGGACTCGCAGCCTCCAGCTCCATGAGAAAGAGCTTTCGGCTGTCGGTGGTCTGTTACAGGAGCCTTCACTGACTCAGCGGAACCCACATTTCTCTTAGGGAACATCTGTTTCTTCATGCAACAAACATCCACTACTAAGCACCTACTATGTGCACGCTCCAGATCTTGGAAAACATCAGTATCATTTCCTTGAGATATTTCACATAGCATCTGGCTGTGCCAGAGGCACACAGTAGGTGCTTGGATGGCTGCTGAATGGAGGATTCCTCCACAGACTGACCACCAGGTACCCAGGCTCCGAAGAAGACAGGGAAGAAACACAAGGGAGTCACGACGATTGAGCTGCTCATACAAAAACCAGCATGCCCAGGCTCAGGGAGATGACCTGCCCTTGTTGGAGCCAGCCTGAGCACTGCGACCTGGGAGCTCTGCAGTTATACCTGCAGATCTAACACGCATGTACACATACACTGAGTGGCCAGGTTACTATGACCGCTCCATCACTACTTGGTTGGTCCACCTTTTGCCTTTAATACTGCGGCGATTCTTCTTGGCAACTACTCCATGAGATGTTGAAAGGTGATACGAGGAATTGGACACCATGCCTGATGAGTAGCCCTGTCCGGTTCTGTGAGATTTGATGGTTGTGGACCCAGCTGCCTGGTGGCTCTTAACTTCGTCCCGCAAATGCTCAATTGGATTGAGATCTGGTGATTGTGGGGGCCACCTAAGCAAGGTAAAGTCTCCCTCATGATCTTGAAACCACTCCTGCACAATACGAACACCGCGGCATGGCACATTGTCTTGTTGGAAGAAGCCATCTCCATTGGGATACGCCATCAACATGATAGGGTGAACTTGATCAGCAACAATACTTAGGTATGTTGTGCTATTCAGACGTTGTTTCACACTGATTAAAAGGCCCAAATCATGCCAGGAAAACATGCCCGTCTGACAGATCACTGACTGTTCCCAGGCGGCTGGTGGGAAAGGACGCTTCTTACCCTCCACCATGACAGGTGCATTCACTAAGGGATTGTTTCATCTAAGCTAGGGGTGTCGAACTCAATCAGAGAAGGGGCCAAAATCTAAAATCCAGCCTAAATCGTGGGCCGAATGGTTTACTGAACAGTCATAAACTGTCATTGTGATGGAAACGCAGCGGAGTGCAGTGATGACAGCGCGGTGCGGGCCACACTGCAAGGCCTGGCAGGACGGATTTGGCCCGCGGGCCTTGTGTTTGACACATGTGACTAAGCAATCCAAGCCTAACTAACCCCTATTAGATTCAGCCGGAGCTGAAGCCACCAAAACCTGCCCAGACCAGACAGAGGCACACAGCTCGCGGCCGCACTGTGCCCTTCCATGGACAGGAAAACATGGCAGAGGAGACACGCGTGTCGGTGTGTAATAAGGACCCATCAGCTCATCATAAACACACATGCATGTACCATCAGGGAGCAGGCGATGGTCTGAGTATTAAGGATGCCCAGAAGTGAACTTTGTTTTTTGTGTGTGTGTGTGTGTGTGTGTGTGTGTTTTTAATATATTTTTATTGATTTCAGAGAGGAAGGGAGAGAGGGAGAGAGATCCAAACATCGATGATGAGAATCACTGATAGGCTGCCTCCTGCACGCCCCCTACTGGGGAATGAAACCATGTGCCCTGTCCAGGAATTGAATCTCGACCTCTCAGCTCCTAAGGCTGATGTTCAACCGCTAGGATTATCCCTAATATAACTCAACATATGGGTCACGTGAAGATTCCACAAACCCACAGATTTAATCAGGAAAATGGAGCATTAGGTTAATTCAAGTTAAGGATGACTTAAGCCAGTAACTACTGGGAGTAGGGATGAGAATAACCATCAAAGGTTGGAAGGAGGAAAAATCGAATTTTTCGTGGTAGCGCCCAAGGGTTAAACCACATTTCTCACTTTTAATTGCGAACATCGTTAAGCATCCAGCAAAAGACCAGCTATCTTCGACAATTATCGGGCTCCGGAGGTCACCAATTAGAACCCTGCAAGGATTCGAATTAAGAAAAGTTTGTGATTAGGTGAAGTAATGATCCAAGGGAGATCCTGTTCGGGCTGCGCTCATTATAAAACCCATTTCCTGCGCGTGGCGCTCGGAGTGTCCCGCGTGCCCTGCCGACGGGGCGCCAGCACGCCCCAGGGCCACTCCAGGGCTGTGCCAACGATGTCCTACCACGGCCGTGGACACTCACGCTCGGCTCTCCTGCGACGCCGAGCGAATATGTGCTATTGATTAGACAGACAGACAGCAGCACAGACTGGAAGGGTGTGAGGACATCCCCAATGACCCCAAGGAGGTAACGGTGCCACGGCTGCTTTCCATTTCCAGGTCACCTCCATCGCCACAGTCATTCCTCATTTACATGCAGAGCGTCAGAGTAATAATCCTTAAGATAATAAACCACAGTTTTCATCTGATGGTGATCAACAGGGTCATTTTCATGAAAAGAATTCCAAAAAGCAAAGAGCAAGACCAGAGAAAACAGAAAGGTCCCAGAGAGCACACCTACTCCACACACCTCTCGGCAGCCGCGGCCTGTGTGGCTCGATGGGCTGGACGCCGTCCTGTGCTGTGCACGGAGAGGTCGCAGGTTCAGTTCCCGGTCAGGGCACATGCCCGGCTGCCAGATCGATCCGCAGTAGGGGGTTTGCAGGAGGCAGCCAATGGGTGATTCTCTCTCATTATGGATGTTTCTCTCTCTCCCTCGCCCTTCCTCTCTCAACTAAAAGTCAACAAAAACATTTTAAAGATAAATGAATAAATAATAAAAGGCTTGTCAACAACACCATAAAAGACATGCTAGAATAATAAACATGGCCAGAAAAATGCAGCTTAGCGATAACAGTACAAAAACGTACAAGATGTCCCCAAACTATCATTATTTCCCTTATAACGCAATATCCTAAGCTTCCTGGAAATCGCCGAAGAGGCATAAAAACACCGTTTCAAAACAAAGCTCAACTGCAACAGAGACACCTGTGTTTCCCCTCGGAGCTAGCCACCCTAGAAAGTTAGGACTCTGATAAGACGCCATTTGCACTGCGTTCAATAGTCACAGCTTCTGAGGACACATCCAGCCACTGACGTGGGCGCATGGCCCGGGCCCCTGACAGCACAGGATCTCTGCGGACCCGCTCAGGCTGCAGAGCCTGTCCTCGGTCGCTTCTCCTCACGAGCCTGACTCTCTCTCTCAGGCCATGCCCAGGGGGGTTCTTAGAGGGATCTGACAGGTGAGGTGCCCATCTTCCCATTCCGGACCACGCTGTGCATGGGAACCATCCAGGCTCTTAGGAGAAGCGAGTGCACGGAAGCCAGCCCATGGCGTCTGCCTCTTTACGTCTTGTCCTTCGACCACAATGCATTCAGTTAGCAGCGACGCACACCAGTGGGTTCTGAGTGTCACAGCGACGGACAGCTGATGGCTCTGTTTTGAGGCTGACGACACAGATAACCGTTACTTTATGCAACTGCCCCCCGCACAGGCAAACGAGGCAGAACAAAGGGGCAAGGAAGGGCGTTCCTTTGGCTAAAACTTTGACCACAACTAACAATACGCATCTTGGGTTGATGCCTGACTCCCTTCTGTTCTCTTGTCTCAAACACAGGAGGCTGCCCTGGCCGGTGTGGCTCAGTTGGTTGGACACTGTCCTGTGCACGGAGAGTTCACCGATTCAGTTCCGGTCAGGGCACATGCCTGGGTGGTGGGCTCGATCCCCAGTAAGTGACATGCAAGAGGCAGCAGATCAATGTTTCTCTCTCTCTCCTTCTCCCTTCTTCTCCCTTTAAAATCAATAAGAACACACTTAAAAAAAAAAAAAAGTAGAATAGTTTGTTGACCAATTCTAGGAAAGAGTAACAAACTAGGATGAGAACACTAAGACTAGGAATTTAGGGAAGTGTCTGGAGACCAGTTTCAAATATTTACCGACTGTTATGGCAACAATGGAGGTCCCACACTGCCCCCACCTCCTAGGGCCACAGCACAAACAGACACACCGCAGACCTGAAGAATTACTATTTCATGAGAGAGTGCGGCTGCACGACTGGGGGGATTGTCTAAAAAGGCGCTGTG